CCCGCTGGCGGGGCTGCCTGTGGGACCTAGTTTCGGAGTATGCTGATGCAGACCGAAACGGAGCAAACAGCATGGCTTGTGCTCAGAAACCTTCCAGATACAAGCTTTTCAAATGCAATTGGCTCTGACTTTATTGAACTCTCTCAGGTTACAGTTGTTTAATCATAATTAAACAATTACGGCGAGATAGCCGTGTGCCTACTTAGCTCCTCTCGGCTGTGAGCTGATGCAAACCGAAGTCCTTGCCAGTTTTCCCACACAAGCACTTACTGCCGCTAACGGGCAGCGCTGCGTTAAGCTGAATGTGTGTCTGTAGCCTCCCTCTGCCCTGGAGGTTTGTCCCAGTTCTGTTCGCGGCACGGACTGTCACTGGAGAACCACACTGGTCCAGCCCTAGGAAGAGTGGGTGGGGTGTACGTTAGCTCTGGGGGGGGTAGAAGAGTCGTAAAACCCTGTCACAGGCCTCCTGGCAGATGAAAGCAGCGCAGGAAAGGTGTACGGCTTGTGGAAGGGACCACACCCCGTACATGCAAACCTGTTTCCCTGAAGTTGGGGGCTTCAGAGAGTCTGCTGTTGAAGCCCAAGCTCCCACAACTCAAGCTAAAGGAGCTAGTTTAACAGAGTCAATTGAGCAATACAAGGTTTTCTCAGGCTATTTCTGTTAAGTAACTGATGGTGGCAGCAACAGAGATCACCTTCACCAAGAAGCCGCCAGCTGCCCACCCTGTTTTAGGCCGCATGCTTTGGAGCAGCACAAGTGGCGTGCACAACCCAGAGTACTGAAAATCAAACACTTTCTAAAAGTCCGTTTTTCTTTTCTTAGCTTCTTTTTGTGTGTTTCTTCATCTAAGTAGTCAAATCGAGTGGAACCCAGTTTCACTTCTGGGTTTTGGTAATTTCTGGCTTAATATTCATACTTGTAAATATCTACAGCCTTTTACAGAGGGGAGGTCCCACCTTGTGAACTAGAGAGAAGTCTGGCTCCACTAGCAGGATGAGCTCGGCCATCAGCAGCTGGGGCCAAGGCCAAAGGCAGCCAGAGCAATGTCAGCCACATCCCAGGCCTCTGGGATGAGCTCAATAGATACTGCATCTATACTTCTGAACAAATTAGCAAACTTATTGCTGGTACTGATCTGTCTGGCGTGGTCCGGTCACCTCTGTAATAGTAAACTCTTTGACCCTTCAAAAGAGGGAGGTTGTGTGCAACCTGCCTCTTAGGGTTGGTCACTAGCCAGTATTAACTCTCTACTATGCCTGGGGACTGTTTGGGGCAGTGTTAGTCAGTGTTGTCCAAAAGCATGCTGAGACCTTTGTGAGCCCTTAACATCATCACTAGTTTCAGTTGCTATGCCTTTCTGTGGCACTCCTAAATTTATTAATCCAGGTGTAGGCAATGACAGCTGCAAATGTGGCTCTGATAATCTTCTCAAAAACTGTAGTGCCCAGCAGAGCAGCCAGAATAATGTCATCTACTCATCCATGCACAGAGATACTGGGCAGCTGCCTGGGCTTGTGATGAAGATGGAGGTGCCCAAAAGGAGATTATAAAGATGGAGGTGTTCTGCACAAGGGTGCAGGAGACAAACTGTTGCTATAGCCATGGTGAGATGAGGGGGAAGAAAATGTGGATGATAAGGATACAGATACCCCAGTATGGAGTCCATCCACATGGTACTCTAACAGCTTCCTGAATCCACTGATTTCCTGGAATTCAAATAGACATCTCTATTGCTTTTGATTTTGAAACTGTTCCCTTCAGGCTCAACACCCTCTAACAAGCTCTGCGTGTGCATTTGACCATGTCTGCATAAGTGTGTGCAAGCGCAGTGCTGGGTCACTGAACTAGCAGGTTCTGAATTAAGGAGCCTTATGTACCCCTTGCTTCTCATTAGCGCTTTGCTAAGGGAAACCTGAAGGTGTGTGAGAGAGAAGTTCAGTTTTGACTCTTGCCGATGAACCAGGGCTGCTTGAAAGTGCCAGCTGGACAGGGACTCTGCTGGGAAAGTCACTGGCTGAGCGAGGGGAGCCAGCTGGCTGAGCTACTCAACTTATTTGCATGTCTCTTGCCTAAAAGTTAGGGGCATTCTTGCTTAAAAACCCCTCAGAGCCTAAAAGTGGAAGCGAATAAACTATTTGTATGCTAGAAAATATGTCAGATACCGTGTGGTGGAGCCGTGCTGTAGCCTGCAGCCCTAGGAGATGGGAGAGGGGAGGAGTGGTTGTTGAGGGACTTGTCAGCAGTAGAGGTTAGGGAGGTCTTCGTGCCACTGCTGAGGGCTGCCAGCAGGGCATTGAGGAGCAGAGCTGAGCCCAGGACACCTGCAGAGCAGTGACTGTCAGTGAAGAGTAGTAAAGAAACATCAGCCGTTACCTGGTCGATTCCCTGAATAGCAGTGCAGAATGGCACGTCTGCGTTCACGTCTGCCGGACTGGCATATCCCCTCGAATGGAGAGACGTGCTCACCCAGCCGAGTCCGCCGTGGCTGGCCAGCAAACTGTGTACCAGGTGACGGCTGGGCCACAACGGTTCCTTTCCCTCAGCTGTGGGAGCTGTATTGTGGCAACAAGAAAAGGGCTATTGCTAGGATTTCCTGAGGATGGTTGTCTCACCCACAGATGATTATTCACAACTTCTAAGTTGATGTATTCTAAAACGATGTCCTTCCCCCCTCCCCGGAAAGTTATATTTGTTTAAAACTCTTTGTTTAAACACTTGGCTTGCAGGCGGGGAAATATTGCTCATGCTTTGTTATGAAGGCAGTGTAATTCAGCTTCTCAGACTTCTGGGCAAGAGCTTGAACAACTGCCATTTAACAGGGGGTTTATTTTCCATTTTGCTTTTTACCGGGCATCCCTACAATTTGAAGATGGACCTTGTCACTGCCAAAGCACACCTGGCAGAAGAGTTGTTCCTTTTTCCTCAGCTCTGGCTCTTGCACAGGCTAAACCTAGTTCTTCTTGCCATCCGAAGAGCAAAATAAATCTACCGAGCGGTACCATATGCGCATCTTTCTCCGAATCTTGTTGGTTTTCTGCTTTGCTGTCTCCCACAGGCCTTTGCCTGGCAGGACAGGCCCCAGTCTCGTATCTCATCCTGCATCGAGGGAGTGCTGGTTCATGCTGGTACAGTGCAAGCTCAGCAGTGCATGGACATGTTCGCATGTGAAGGATTAAAGTCTTTAAGCCTGATTCAAATTCAGACATCTGAAGTTGGTGAAAGACTCTCCAGGGATTTCAGCAGTCTTTAGGGAGAAGTTTGTATCATTACCAGGTGCAGAGCAGTGGATAAGGCACTTGAATGGATAATGGGAGATGTAAATGTTATTTTTGGTTAGGATACTTATCTGCCTGCTCTCACTTTGTGCCTCTTTTTACCTATCTGGGAATAATTAAATATGCCTTTCTGGTGAAAAACTTTGAGCTCTGTTGATAAAAAGTGGTAGATAACATTTGTCTGTTGTTACCATTATTGTCTTGTGAGAGTTCGTTTTTAAAGAGCTTTTTGAAAAATCATCATTAACACAACAAAATGTTAGTAAAAAGGTAGCTGCTTCTCTCTGAACTTGATGAAAGGGGCAAGCAAATGCCAAATCAGACCTCCTGCTGCTGTGGGTTATTGAATGGCAGATTCTGTGCAGAGTATGGGATGCATACGTCTGCTTGTTTAAAAAAGAAAATCTGCTCATCTTCTAGGTTATTTAATTCCATGTACTTAAATGCTGTAACAATCATTTGTCCTCTACCTTGAGGAAATAGATAACAGAAAAAAAGGTTTGAAAATGGAAAGAAACAATAGAGGCATAAGCATTTTTATCTAAACCAAAGCAAAAACTTTGGTTTAGACAACATGATGCATCACCCCATGGCTGTTGGTAGATGGCAGCCTCTGTCCTTATGCAAGGGGGCTCTGTAAAAGGTTACAGCTGCCTGCAAATGCTTTCTCATAGGCCTGTGTGCTCCCACTTGCTGATACCGAATCTCAGCAGGAGGCGAAAGAATTTGCCCGTTTGTAGGAATAAGTTTCAGAAGTAATTCCAAGCACAATCCAGCTTAAAGCTAATAATGAACAGGCTTTACTGCATTAATTGCGTATTATAACATGGATTTAGGAGATAGCTGCTGTTAGGGTATGTTTCCCATTGATAAGCATAGGCAAAAGCCTTTTTGACATCTGGTACGCTTGGGGTCTTATCCTGACATTTCAAGCAAGCTGTACTGAGGCCAAGTGGTTTTTCTCCGGTGGCAGGATAAAAC